TAAGATGGAATAAACTTATATAATGAATGTATAAATATTTGGAATATAAGTTGCTATTCCTTTATCTTGATCATGATGAGTTGGATATTGTTGAGACTAATATAAGTCAGGCAATGAATGGTTAGAAAGGAGAAAAATTACTTATAACCATTGGACATATATAAATGTTGGAAGAATGTTAACTATTTGAAAGTATATGAACTTTCATGACTATTCTTTTTATTGGCATATGAAAATGATATGATAAATAATTGGTTGATTTCATGTCTTGTTAACTTTGATGATAATCTCAATTCATTTGATAAAATTAAATGAGATGATTTATACAAACTATATTTGCATAAGAGTATATGGTGAATTGATACCCATGATTTGACATAACATAATACAATTTTGTGAAATATCAAAAGATTGATAATTTGCATATGTTTTGAGAAATTGCAATTCTTGTGACTCAAGATGCTTAGCACTCTTCATGGTACTATACTACAATGCGTGAAACCAATTAAGTTGGTTTATGCTTTGAAAAACATTGTTGATCTATGTGATGACCTTGATCAAATTGTGATTAAATTAAATGTAGTTGATTTGCAGTACATTGTGCACAATTGAAATATATTGTAGATTGACGACCACTATTTTTGAAAGTACATAAACTTTCCCAAAGCATTTGATAAGGACATTATCTATTTGATAATGAATTGAACTATGAAAGAGTTGATGAAATCTAAGTTTAAGCATAACCCAAAATGTGGGGGTTAACATTAATGTTTGTAAACTTATATGAGAAAATTCAAAACTTGTGGATGCATCTTTACTAGATTGCATATGTATTCCTAATTAAGGAATTGTGTGGGTAATTTAGTTTAAAAGTTATATTTCCATATACCTTATAGTCATAGAAGAATGTCTATGATGTAAAAAAGGTAGAGAGCCCTCATATAATTATAAGGATGATATACGCTAAGTCTAAAGAGGATGTGATGGGTTGAAAGCCAATTATAGCGTGTGTTTAGATATGCAAAAAACAACTAAAATATTTGAAGAATATTCATAAAGTTGAAATGTATTATGATGTTCAATAAAATATTGAATACCTATGATTCTGAAATCTACTAGTAAATATGATTGACTTGTGTAGTGTTTAATAGAAATCCTCCAACTGTGATTGAAAATTGATAAAGCTTTACATAAAACTAATGAGAAGCATGTGGCTTTGTAAGAAGATGGTGACAATTTATATCTATCAAATGAATCGATTGTTGGCTAGCTATATTTGATGAGATACTAAGTCATATGTAATGGACAATTTAAACACACGAGTTTAGGACATGAACACATAAGGAAATTAATCAAGAATAGAATAATTTCCTAAATTATAGAGAAAATAGCGGATGCTTTATTTAAATCTCTAAATAGAGATTTAGTAATATATACTTCGAGCAGGGTTGAAACTCTTAAATCTAAAGATCAACTAATGATGGCAACCCTACATGT